TCCCGTAAGTGTGTGTGTGCGTGTGCGTGTGTGTGTGTGTGTGGTCATACTTGTCGTAGTGGGTGTTGTAGAGCTGGGTGGGGGCTCTGAGGACTCGGTCCAGGACGGCTGCTGCGTTCTTCATGTTGCCCTGCTCCTTCTCCCACTCCACATACAGATCCCAAAGCCGGTCTGAGTGGAAGTCCAGACCTGCCGCTGAAACCCCCTCCTCGAATACACTGGAGGTTGAGAACGGACAATGAATAAGGTATGAAAACAGCTCTCACAAACAGACCCTTTATTCTGATATTTTATCTTCAATTTCTATTCAAACTGAATAAAAAACAAAACAAAAATACAGGTAAAAACAAAGTCTTGAAGGAGAGTACCTGCGAATCCGATCGGGGGACTCGGGCAGGTTCATGTCCAGAGTCCCCAACAGCAGATTGATGTAATGGATCCACAGATCTACACTGAGAGGGATGACCTGGAGACCCTGAATACACACCTGACACAACAAACCACAACATCAGTTTTTAAGAACCAGTGGAAAAAAGCACATATTGACATAGTTGTGGAGAAGAAAAACAAGGCACAGTATATTCTTTCCCGTTTTACCTCCTCTGCTTTGTTGTTGTATCCTGCGCGGCGCTCCAGGTCAGCGTACTTCTTCCAGTAGCCGTAGCAGAGCGGGTAGCGAGCGAGGAAAGCCTCCAGTGCCCTGCGAGACGCTGTCATGTGACTCTGAGCAGAGGAGAGGAAGAATGTTTAAATGTCAAGCGAGGCTACAGCAAGCCTCCAGAGATCGAGTGTTTTGTGACGTCATGGGGAAAAATACCAAAACATTATGTATATACTGAATACAATAAATAAATAATAGAAAACTATAACAAAAAATCTGAAACAGACCAATATACAAAATTAAAACAACCTAACTAAATAACAAAACGTAAAAAATCTTATAAAAAAAAGAAGAAAATAATAAATAAATACAGTTAGAAAGAAAAAGAGAGAGGGAATCAAAAAAATTGCCTTTCAGGGCATTTACAATTCTTATTCTCATTCACTTAATTATTTCCGAGAGAAACATTTAGATTTTCCTACATCCTTCATTGTCACTACACTGATTCCCCCTTCTCTCTCTGGTAAAGCCCCAAACACACACCTCTTGCTCGCAGTACTGCAGCAGTTCGGTCCAGCTGGTGAAGTCCTGAGGATTGTCGTGTGCGGCCTTCCACAGCCGCTCAAAGTCTGCAGGTATTTCTCCCTCCTCGTCCTCTGTAGCCGGGGGCATGCAGAAGGTGGCCGGGTCGGGGCCAACGGAGACCTGAGGGGCCTCGGGGGGGCTGCCGTTCTCTTCGGACATCTCGGTCGGAGGCAAGGCAGGAACCTCAGAGGCCTCCATAGCTGAAGAGGAAGTCAATCAAAAAGTCAGACAATCTACATTTAAATAATGAAAGGGCATAATACAGGGACGCTCCTTTTGAAAGCTACTTCTTTTCCCCATCGTTGTTTTCATCGGAAAAGTTGTAATGTATTTTTACTGTAAAAAAAGAGCAGGCCTGCCCTGACTTTAGCCTTTTTGGCCATTATCCTTTTATTTAAAAAAACGGTCATTTAAATTGATCTGAGGTAACATTTTCATCACAGGCCATGGACTGGCCAAACAACAATGTCTTAGCCAGCCATTTTTTTTTTAAACAACAACTTCAGATAACCCAAAGCTATTTTTAATCAGTAAATAAAAGACTGAGGAGTTGTTTGCTGTGATGTTGCACTCTGAAATCTTGCTTCACTTCTACACGTTTATCTCATTGTGGTCATTTTCTTGAGATGCTGTGGCACAGAAACATAGGATGTTGAGAGGACGTTGAAGAAACGTATCTAAAAAGAATACTACTAATAGAAAAATGCAATAGACCTCCATAGGGAAAAAGGCATTGATCAAATTAATGGAATAAGATGTTATTAATGAACCTTTTTCTGCTTCCTGTACACGTTTGTAGAAAATGGCCAAAACAACAGTGAGTGAAACCCCACATGCTTTAAAAATTATAATAAAAAAACTAGAGGTACAACAAACTTTAAGTAGAAGATTCAGGGTTTGTATTACAGCAAGATCTCTCACGATAAACAAGCAAGGTTAGTGGAAACTGTTTAAAATAACAATGAAGACCAACTCAAGACTGTCATCGAAAAAAACATAACGAAAACATCACGATAATAAAAGAATAAAATGTCATACGTATGTTTTTATGTCACTGTACTTGTTCCTTATTCACCAGACAAACCAGTTATGCTGCTAAAGTACAACACGTACCTTTGGACAAACACACCCAAGAGAACAAAACATTGAAATGCTATTATTAGGCTTTTATTCTTGAATCGCCTCCTGGTTACACCTGCAGAGCTATGTTTCATTCATTAAAACCAGTTTACGGGTTGGAGCTCCACTGCAGCGATGACTACACTACATTCAGGATGTTTTGTACATAATTCAACTAATAATAAGTTAGAAGAAGCTCAACACTTAGTCAAACCCAGGGGGTGACATTTAGTGAGTTAAAGTCAGTGAACACAACACTGTGCTGCTGTTTGGGGCTGTGTGTACTTGAAATCCCGTTAGCTTAGCCTAGCTCCTCATGCTTGTTTATCCTTAAAGCAGATCCAACCGGAGCCTTAACTTGAAATTCTTGCAGGTGAAAGGAAAGCCCAGTTATATCTATCAAATAACGTAAGTGTGCAAAGTATGTTTATTAAGGTTATTGAAAATACCTGAGGACTCTTCCAGCTCCCCGTTGCCGCTCAACTCGTCACAGCCTTCTGCCGCCATGATGGGAAACAACGTCTCGCTGACGTCATTAACATGCGACAAGACACCGATGAACACTTTTAATTCAAACAGCAAAACATTAAACAGCAAACATTAAATCATTAAACTGTGATATTTATCCTCATCTATGCTGAACAGACAATTCATGATTCAACATAATCAATGCACACAGGCAATATTAATAGCACAGACAAAAATGAATCATAAGTGATTAAGACATGATTCCATTGGTCAGATCATTTTATAGTGAGAGATATTTTGCAGTTTCTTAAGGGATTTAACAGTGTAAAGTATTATTATAGTAGCACGTTATTATTTGGCCTTATGAATAAATAATTTATCTATAATTAGTACAACATTGACCATTCTGTGGCGATGCAAATGTCCGCCTGAGACAGCAAAATTAGTGTAATGTTCAATAAGAATAGTTTTTTCTACTTAACCATTTCATAAACTGTTGCCGGAACTTGATAAGAGAGCATGAAACAAAGAGATGCTCTATTCTTTCAATAAAATACTCATTAAACTCAAAACATATTCAACAAATATAAAAACGTTGCCGATATGAACTGTTTTATACTCAATATTTACGCCTATAAAACAATAAACCAGTGTTGACCCCCGTTAATGTAGGAGATCGTAATGAAGTACTTTTTCGTCCATTTGATACAATTGTTTTTATTTCACATATTACAGTTACACAACTATATATTCTTACCATTTACTCAACTTGACTTTATTAGCTAGTATTCCTACCTACTAAAATGTTAATTTATTATTCCGTTTTTTCTCATCATTTGAATGTACAATTGTTTTTAAAAATAATATGACATTTGTTGTTTAAGGGCAGACTCCATACCTTTGAGAAAATGGTAAACCAACAACATAAGTAGGAAAGAATAAAAATTGAGTTCTTTTACATTTGGTCAACTTTATTTTCACTTGGTCTCATCTTTTAGAGTACATCCGACAACTTTGACAGTCAGTTCCTTCACTTCCATTTCCTCCAATTCAAGCCATCACCAACAAAATTGCAGCAACATGTACATTTATGATCATAAAAACAATCGAGCAGACAAACTCAAAACCACTAAAAAGGTCCAACGATCCGACTAGTTGGGACACAATCCAGTCTCCAGAAAATTATTGGAATATTAATCCTTTAATCAAAAAGCTTCATATCAACATCATGAAACATCTTTAAAGATTCAACACCTTAATTAAGATCCAAATGAAGCACTGGAGATGCCGCATGGTCCTGACACCTAGTTAAACATGAACAATCTAAACATCTTTTAAAGTTCTCAATCAAGCTCAAGTGCATTAAAAAGAAAAATATCTAGTAAACAAAGCTTGGAAAATAAATCAATAAAAAAAGGAAAGCATGTCAACAGCATCATCCGCACACATCAGTGGTTCAGTCCCCGGAAGCGATTCCCACTGCCAAGTCTGTTCAAAAGAACGCCTGAAAATCCCGTCTCTGTGCACCAGCTGAACGACCCGAGCCCTTCCATACTGAACGATGAATTATTTCCATGCACATACATTTATCTCCGAGGCCACATAGGAATGAACTTGCAGCTAAAAAAAGAGGCTTTCCATTTGATGGCACCAATAAGTTCAGCAGGATGAAAGTAACATGTGAAGCCCGACAGCTGATTGTTGGCAAGCCCTATCCAAAATCTATGAAATGTGGCACGAGCAAAGAAGGTCGAGGTCTGAGCTGAATGAAGTTCTTGGCTTTAAAGAGGGGTGGAATGCATGTTGAGCGCAGTAAGTCAGAAACAGATAAGAGGAAATCAACAGCAGGTGGGGCGAGTCCGCTTTGACCTTCATTTTAAATCCCACAGTGATCTTTCTTCTGATTGGATGGACAACAACGTAGAAGATTAAAGAAGAGTGCCTGCAGGTTTTCTTTCTTAACCCAATGGACTCTTTACCATTACATTATTTTTTCTCAATTATTATCTATTTGAAAAATGTGACAAAGATGATTATCTATCTAGAAGTAACCTCCTCTTGTTGTTAGGTATTACAGTGCGACTGAACACAAGAGGGACATGGCAGCAACATTACGTGGTTCAGCTCGACTGACAGGTCCACATGGGTTTGAGTGTGTGTGTGTGTGTGTGTGTGTGTGTGTGTGTGTGTGTGTGTGTGTGTGTGTGTGTGTGTGTGTGTGTGTGTGTGTGTGTGTGTGTGTGTGTGTGTGTGTGTGTGTGTGTATATAATGCATTGTGTGTGTTTATGTCCTTTATTTTTCATGATGGCTATCCTGTTGTCTTGCTGTAGTTAGTCATGGACATCAGCGCTTCCCTCTCACTCTCTCTCTCAGACTCTCTCTCTTGCTCTCTCTCTCTGGTCAGTCATTTTCTCCTCCTCCTCCTTTCCTCTCCATGGTTACTGAAGCATCACGTTCCAGTCTGCTCCGGCATTCATGCCGGGCTTGCGGAGCGTCAACACCGACATGGAGGCGTCAAAGTCAAACTCTACCTGGCTCTCCTGACCATCTGCAAAACAGAAAGAGTGTTAGAATAAAAACTTTTGGGAAGAATAATCTCACAGCGGAAACATTCTTTTAAATCCTTAGGGTGCAACATGAGAAACCAACGACCTTGAAGAAACAGTGTTAATTTGGTTAATGAAGACTATGATTTAATATGTTAATTACATCCTTTTTTCCCTATAACTAAGACGATATAGAAACCACTTTAACTCGATCAAAATCCTTTATTAGTTTTAATGACAACACAAGGGCTTGGGAAAAAGAAACCAGGTGATAGTTTGGAGACACCAGATTTATCAAAAATGTTCAGTATAATCAGATTAAAAAAAATAAAATCCCAAAAGTTTATCAACTGGAGTCATACTTAAAATTGTTTTTCTTTTAAAACTTTACTTTCTTTGACTAAGATGGCTACATTTTAGTCTACCTGAATTTGCCCCAAAAAACTGAATAATATTCCTGAAAAATTAATAATAAAAACATAACAGAAACTCAGCCCCCTTTATTAACACATTATAAAAATAAGCACTTATTAAATCAAAAAGGGAACTTGAAACGGTTACCTCTAGGAAAGCAGCTAAAATGTATCTAAACAGATTGCTTCAGTCAATCTCCACTCACCATCAGTCTTCAGGAGCACCTTGCTGGGCTTACTGGCTCCCAGTATGACGATGCGTTCGATCCAGGAGCCAGTGAGGAACTGGGCCTCTGGAGCCAGGTTACTGTGGAACAAGCAAAGACACATTCAATTCCCTTATTATGTCAACTATAGAGAAACACCTACAATACAAATCATATTGGTTTTTAGATTATTTTAGCTTAAACCTTTTTTCTACTGAACTGAAACAGAGAACACTCATGACTCACACAGAAGAGAGGACGTTGTTGGCGAAGGACAGCCTCCTGTGGATGAACTCCTTTTCATAGTTGAAGGTGTGGCCGTCGTCTATGTAGAGCTCACCCTCTGCAGTTCTCTGTCAGACAGAAGGTCAACATGTCAGAAAGGACTATATGCAACCTCTCAAAAAAGCAGTGGATGACAGTTTTGACGATTGAGTTACCTGCAGGTTGAGGGCCACATATAAGGTGTAGGGATCCTGCATCATGCAGGAAGAGGACCGGCGCACTCGAATCTTCCTGGGAATAATGGAGCCTCCACGCTGGAACACAGGGATCTGAAGACAGGAAGCTCCATGTTAACACCAGAGGAAACAAAGCAAATAAACAGCTATATAAGGCCTTAAAGTGAGGAAATGGAGTATCTTACAGAACTCATGGTGACAGGGATGTACAGGTTCTGGGCTCCGTTGTGCTTCTGGAAGGTGTGGACGTCAAACCAGACCTGAGGAACACAAGCACAAGAGTTACACCAACGTTTGTTCAACACAATGGACACCTGAAACGGCAGTCATCTCCTATAAAGAATGTTTGAATCTAAAGTTCAACCTAAAGACACCACAAAGAGACAGTCACTGTACGGCAGAGTCCCAGATCTGAGGAGCTCTGACTGTGCTTCTTCCTCTCACCTGGTCTTTCCCCGGCAGGTACGCAGTGACCCCCCTGGCTCCCTCTTCAGTAACTGGGTGCACCAACAGGTCTCTCCCTGTAACAATTTCATTCAAAATGTAATTAAAGTCTCACCTCATGTAGGTCAGCTGTTTCAGGGCTCAACTGAACAGATCTACACCAAACAAGCTCTATCATTATGTCACAACAGTAACAACAGCATGGTTGTTCTATAATTATATATATTGTATCATTTAGGAGGCAACTCTGACCAGCAAACATGTTTGTTTTTTAAAACTAAAATCATAAATCGATCTCACTTTTAACAAGAAAATAATTTTGTTTCTTTCTGTCTCACCGATTAAGAACTCGTCTTCCAGAGCGAAAGTAGCAGGATCCTCAGGATACTCCACCCACAGAGGTCTGGAACAAGGTAACATTATTTCACAATATGTTATCCACATCAAAGCAAATGACTGAAAACGGCAGTAATTAAATGAACATACAAATTATTTTCTGTGAATTTAGTTTTTAATGTCCATTTCCCTGTATTGGGCAAATAATGCACATTGATGGGAGATGGTTTTGTAACCCATCACTACAGGGTAAGAGGACATAAAGACAAACGATTTTCCCCGTCCTCACCTCATGATGGGCTCCCCGGTGCGGTGAGCGTGGTAGAACTGCAGGTACCAGTAGGGCAGCAGGGTGTAGCGCTGGCGCACGGCTTCACGGATCAGCGCCGTGTTTTCTGGACCAAAGAGCCAGGGCTCGCGGCGGGGGGTGTCCAGGTGGGCGTGGGCCCGGAAGAAGGGCTGGTACGCCCCCGTCTGGTACCAACGCACCAGCAGCTCCGTGTTTGGGGACTTGAAGAAACCTCCAACGTCAGCTAGGAGACAGACAGGTGGGGTCAGTGTTAGTGCTGGAGCTGGGCTATTCAGAGGAGGATGTACATAAAAGAGGCAGACACAACGACCTCCTGAGATCTTCTACATCTAGAGCTTAACCCGAAGGGGAAGACATTTGTTTTTCTTAAACTAAATGCAAGTTTATTTAACCTCAGTGCAGTGACAAAACCCCGATCAAATCATGAATATGAGATTCAAACAAACAATGAGCATCGCTGCTAAATATAAATACAACAAGGGAACCTGCGCTCTCACCATGGCAACACCTCGTGCATTTATCAGTGCATGTTTCCTTGACAACTTAGTTAACAAACTAACATCTATTTCCGGGAATATCTCAAAATCCTGCCTCACTGTGGGGTTTCAAATAGATTCATTTTCATTGCAAAAGTTCCATGTTACCAGAGGCAAAAGCAGTTCAGTGCAGAGTATATTAACGTATGTATAGGAATAGGAATATATATATATATATATATATATATATATATATATAAGGATACTGACATGTTATAAAAGTACAGTATATCATACGTTGGATATCAAAACAGTGTGTTACTGTAGTTTAGATGTATGGACAATAAAAGTGCAAATACACTTTAGGTCTGATGTATAGAGTAAAAAAACTAAAATATAAAACCATGTTAATATCAGTTTCTAAAATGTCTTAATATCATGAATTGCTACAATAAATCAAAAGGCAACATTATTAAACTCGACATGGTATGACAAGTACTGAAAAAGACTTAGAAGAACAGCTTTGAACGGCAAAAACAAAAATGTTCAGCCATTCTCCGAATAGTTTGTAATTCTAGCTATTTGGTCATTTTACCCAAACCAACGGGACAGATGACCGGGGTAACAGCTGACTGTGAAGCTCGATCACTCACCACCACAGAAGGAGATGCCCACCAGGCCCAGGCTCAGGCACATGGGGATGGAGATCTTCAGGTGTTCCCACTCAGCAGCATTATCTCCGGTCCACACAGCACCTACACACAAAAACAACTCACGCTCAGGACGCTGCGCTAAAAACATCGAGGTTTCTAGAGAAGATAGACATTTATTTTTTCTGGATGAAACCTGAATTATAAGTAAGGTAATATATGCAGCTTAGCAGAATGGATCCTGCTTACCGTAGCGCTGTGAGCCAGCGAAGAAGGCTCTGGTCAGAACAAACGGTCTCTCGACTCCTCCGGACCTCTGGATCAGACCCTCCGCGGTGGCCATTTGCTGCAGGTTGCACACAGGATAGTCAGAGGGGGTATTTTGACCATTTTAAGAGCATATTTTGTTCTCTTAAAAAGGGATATTGTGAACTATGACCAAGAAAATCCTTTTAAGAAACTTGTGTACAATATTTTAATTGCCCCTGGTGGGAAGTGGTAGCAGAATATCAAGGATAAATGTAATGATATCATTTTATATAGCTACAGGTATTTCTTTATTGCTAAAACAGATTTCTGTTGAGCACTATGAGCTCCTGGTTTCTGTGTGGTTCAGAAATGTTCTACCTGCTTTTGACCCAACTGGATTTCATTCCTATTTTCAATAGTAACAATCATGCATGAACAGCACCCAACCAAAGAAATAAGAAATGTTAGGAAATACACAAAAAAGGTTTTCAGCCATAGACAGATTGTGAGCACTCACCACATAGAAGCCATAAATGTTGTGCACGTCGCGGTGCTCCCAGGCTCCGTGCATTGCGTCCTTGTGCATGGTCACCTCCGGTCCGTTAAACACTGACGGCTCGTTCATGTCGTTCCACGTGTCCAGGTTCTCCATGGAACCCTGGAGAGCGGAGAGAAAAGGTGGATATTATGGGAAAGGTGTCGTTTTGAATCCACGAATAGTCGACAAATCTTGGAACAGAATCTGGAATTGCAGATATCCTTTCTCAAAGAATTCAGTGTGAATGGCCCAAAAACCAACAACTGTGGTCCGGACTCACCTCGTACTGATTGTAGGCGAACATGCTGGCCCACCAGTCCCTCATGTCTGCTCGGGTGAAGTCTGGATAGCCGGCACTACCTATAGATGATCAGTTCACAAAGGAATGTGAGTGAAATATACATTGGAATGATCTCTGGGGCAAACATCACATTAAATGTTTCTCAGTAAAGATCCAGTTCATAAAGCTTAGTTATAAAAATATTTTCTGCATTCATAGTTTCTTACCAGGCCAGCACCAGCCCTCGTAGTCCCCGCCATCTTTATTCTTGATATAGAAACTCCGAGAGCGGATTTCATTATGGATCTTGTAATTGCTATCTACTTTGATATGAGGGTCCACAATGGCCACCATCTATAAAAACACACAATAACAGAAGACTGAGTGGGAAGCGTACATGCTAGTCCTGAAGGGAATTGACTCAAACTTAACAAATCAACACCACTTCTATGGTTATTGTAGCATGAATGAATTTACAAGAAGTGAAAAGTTGGGGCTCCACATTGCAGTACCTGTGGGGATCTATCTGCTGGTATATTTTGGATTATTGGTCATAATTACCTTGCGTTTCTTGTCACTGAGACCCTGCAGCATCTCCTTTGGAGTTGCAAACTTGTGTGGATCCCAGGTGAAGTAGCGCTTGCCATCAGTGTGCTCAATGTCGAGCCAGATGTAGTCATATGGGATGTCGTGCTCATCGAAGCCCGCATCCACTGCAGCCACATCCTCCTGGTCGTTGTAGTTCCAGCGGCACTGGTGGTAACCCACAGCAGCGAGGGGGGGGAAGGCCTGGGTGCCTGATGGACAGCAGGGGGAGGAAGAAAAGTGAGGACTGAGGAGGACAGTCAAACATGTTGGGCTGTGCAAAATATCAATGTTATATTGATATTACGATAAGTCACAAGAGTGTAAGATGTTCATATTGTAATATGAACATCATAGTCTTGTGTTTTTCAGGTTTTAAAGTCTGCATGACACATTTTTTCCAATTTGTATTATATCCTTACCCAGTAAGTCATTATGTAATTTATAATTATTATTTTAAACATCTCATTATGTAAATATGGTATAATAAGCACTGATAGTAATTCCACAATATTGTTGCAATATGGAGGCATTTAGTCATAAATATTGTGACATTTCAAATAATGTATATGACCTCGCTTAAACTACTGGAAGCGTGGGAAATAGGGCAATAAGTGTTTGTCCGGCGTCCATCTTCCTACCTGTGAGGGAGGCATACTGAGAGAAGACATCTTTGGGTGTGGGCCCGAGCATAATGAAGACATCGATGATGCCGCTTTCAGAGATCCAACGCACGTCGGTCTGTGGAGTCTCATTGGAGCCTTGAACATAATCCAGCATTTTTCCAAACACAGTCTGAAAAGAGAGAAAATAAGTAAGTGAAGCTTTGGTGTTACAGACCCCAACTGCTCTTTTTGGTTTTATTCTAACAAAAAAACTCAAAATAACGAAGGAAGAAGAAAAAAAAATGCACATACTTTTCCAGCTGTGTTGGAGCTGATATCCACCCAGGTCTCCGCAGCATTGAGCCAGAAGACGCCGGTGGTCCGCTGGGCGTTGTGGGCCAACATGACGGGGACAGCGCCGTAGAGGGCCATGGGGTTGTACAGCTCGTACTGGAACACGTCCAGGTTATAGAGGCGGTAGGGATCTCCATTTCTGAAACAGAGAGGGAAACACTCAGGCCTATAAATCCAATGCGACAAAGATGCAACCAGGCAACTCGTATTACACTTCATATGTGAAACAAGACTTGTTGTTGACGCTCACTCTGTGGTTTTGAGTCTGAGGGTGTCTGCATGTTCTGGGATGCCGTAGACGTGCTCCACACCCGGCAACGAGAAGTCCAAGCTAACAGCAGATGGACCTGTGAGGCGAGAGCAACCGATTATCAGTTAAGAGGAGAGTTAACCTTAAAAGCATCCTTACACTAAAAGACCTGCACTGCACCAAAGACATTTCTGTATCTGTACTTCTAGGCATGATTGTGCGGTTATCCTAGAGGAGCAGGACTTATATATATGAATATATTGCAGTGAAAAACAAGGCAACAGTGAGAAGAATGTGACAAAAACCATCAACAACCTGAAACTGCTTGGGGTTCAGGGAGATATTAAGAGTATTTCACTTTAACTTACAAACTGAAATACAAGTATAGCATACCATTAGGTTTGCTGTCTGTGTGCGATTTAAAAGTTTCCTCCCACATCCCGTCTTCATCTTTCTCTTCCTCTTTTGCTGCCTGGCAGGCAGACAGGGAGAACAGTAGGATTATTCAAAAGGGAAGAGACAGCGTAGAGCATGTTATAATAATGCCTTTCAATAACTTTTTATGTTAGTTATTATTTTAGCGTGTAGTACCTCGGGCTGGGCTGCTGGATCGGCCTCTTCTTTCTTTTCAGCCTCTGGGTCTGCCTGACTGCTAAATAATGGAGTGAGGGGTGATGACGGGAATATTGGAAAAAGAGAGATGTGTCACTTTGGGAGTCTATCTTGACACGATAATATGGGAGTATAATCAAACTATAACAAAAAAGGAAAACATACAAACAGGGAGGTTGGTAAATGCCCCAAGAATCTACAATGAGTACTAACAAAAACTCTACAAGGTTAAGACTTCATCAGCTTTAATGAAGAAGGGCACTGAGCAGCTCCCTACCTTGAGGCTACTTTAAGCTCTGCATTATGGGATAGGACCTCTAGAGGCTGCTACATGCAACACCTGGCACCCAGAGGGTCCCCCAGGTACCATGGTGGGATCAAAGCCGTAGCATTGCATCAAGTGATAGAAAGGTGTCGGCCACACGCAGCTGTGGGGGGGGGAGAGGTCTGCAGCCCAAGCAGGAGGCAGAGGAGCCAAAAAGGAACTTGAATATGGATTTATTCATTATTTCAAATGATTTGATGAATAAATATCTGATGTATCTATTTATTCAAATTAAGGATTTAGTTTGACGATGTTTGAATTTTATGCGTTAATTGTTAATGTTTCACTCTGTAACATTATTCATTCATCTTAAACTGCAGCCACACTGCGTACGTGGATGCAGGGCGGTCTTAACACACAACAAAAACACAACATAATGAGGGGGCCTACAGAAGCATTTCTCCACCATAATAAGCTAATTGGTCCAGAGCTCTAAAGAAGCACAGTCCCAACAAAATAAAACTGAAAATGTCCCAATTTTAGGAGCTTTGGACACTTGAAATAAAATGCAAACTGAAGTAAAACCACAAAGACAGTGTTGCTGTTAGGTTTGGGAACTGTGCTGCAGTACTATCAAATAAATCACTTGTTTTCTGTTTGGTGTGTTTGTAAAGAGAAATGATCTTTTGTGTCTTTTAAACTTGTCAACACCTGCTGCAATTATCTGATTCTGTTATCTATGGAAGCTCTCACCATGAGCTGAGAAAGCGGGGAAACTAGTTTAAGTCAACAGAAATGCTCAGGACACACAGTCAGTCATGCAGTTGCTTTGTTAGATCTAAAAAGGGACGCTACATCGACACTTAGGTTAATCTGACAGACAGGAAATCACAGCAGACCCTAAATTATTCAGGTGAATGTGTTTTTCTTTCTCAGGATGATTTTTCTTTGTTTCATGGAATGAGACTAAACACCTACACCCTGAGTGGCAATTACTTATTATTAATTAATAATCCTTTAATGATAACAGGGGCGGGATCGACCCTTTAATTACGGATCAAATTAAACACCAACATGCACACACACACGCCCACCCACATCCCTCTCTCATTCACATTTATTGGAGGGTAAACACTTTACTTGGTGCGATGGGAGTCCCTATAATTTTTGTCACTATTGGCAGCATTAGCACAAGGAACAGGATACACACTTACAAATCTTAACGGTCTTTACCTAGAGAATACTCTCTTGATATTATTCCACACGCTAGCCACTGTGCTAGTTACTTTATAGGAGAAACTAGGATGATAGGGAGAAGACAGAACAACCAGTCAGAGACAATACTCAAAAAACAAACCATTTTATGGGAACAAAAATCTAAATCATCCACTGAGTGAGGACGTGGATTAAAAGAGGGTTGGCATTTTGGGCATGTGTGTGCATGCGTGGTTTCTCACGTGTCCTTGCGCATCCTCAGGTGCTCAAAGGCCAACAGGCCGCGCGAGTTCAGCGACATCACCACGTCTCGCCCCTCCATGATGTCCAATCGGAAAGGCCGGGCGCTGAGGATGACTCTCTGAGACTCCGCCCCCAGGGACAGCACCACCCCGTTCTCATCCTGAGACAAGAGTGACAGGCTGAGAAAGAGAGAGAAAGAGGGCGAGAGAGAGGAGGTAAAGTTAAATAAAAGCTTTGGTTTGAAAACAAAAAGTCAAGGGAATTGTATTTAGGTAGTAACACCCTCTGTTGTTTGACAGCTTGCTTCAGGTAAAACCAAACTCCTCTCACCTACTGAAAAAAACTTTTTAATGAACAGATAGTTAAAAAGGTATTTTTTTTAAATCCTAGTTAAGCAAAACTAAACTTCAGGGTTGAACGTCTAAAATGAGATTCTGAGGGATGAAGCCAGAAGGCAATTATCTGGAAGACTGGCTTCTCTCCAAGTATGCCCTTTTATTTCACTGGTAGATTCTAAATCCGGTTATTCACCGTGGGAACATGCCTCCACCTAAAGTAGAACACAAGATGTTTTTGATTCCACTAAATATTATCTATGCTCTTTATTGACTTACTCTTTTTCAATATTGTAAATCTTTCTACCCCAAAAGAATGAGAGGATTTCAGATCCAAATGGAGAATAAGAAAAATCAGTGAATAAGGAATACATTAATAAAAATGACACTGGGAGTTTGATCCTGTCATATCAAGACCTCCACCCCCCCCCCCACCACACACAGTTGGTAACACCCCTAAGACTCACGGCTCAGTCGGCGGCTCCCTGATGAGCACGTCTGGGACCTCATAGCGAGGCTTCAGCGGCTTCAGCTCGTTAATCTTCACCCTCGTCATGTTTCCCTGGAGACGATAGAGCTCGAGCAGCAGGCGCACCTGATGGCAGATGCAAATAGAGAGATAGTGTGAGAGAGAAAAAAAAGAATGAGGGTCAGAGGGAAAGGAGGGAGATGGAGGAGAAGCAAAGGACTACACAGAGGAATTTCATTATAATCTAATAAAGTACAGGTCGTCCTACGGGTTCAGCCAAGGGACAGTTTTTCTTTGGCATTACACTAAGCCATGCAAGGCATTTGACTTTGATGGATGGGAAACTGCTGACTTTCATTCATTATATCCTTCAGATGACCTAATCAGGGAATTGGCATTAATATAAGGCCATATTATCACTCTTATCACTTGTTAACAGTTTAATAATTCCATTTCCATTTGTGATTTTAATTACATCTTACAGACTTGATTGTAATTGCCTTCCCCCTTCTGACAGCCATACTTCCCTCCATAGTGAGCTGCTTCTGTAAGTGTGTGATTTACCTTGTTGTTGTCATTGATGAGCTGCAGCGTGAGTCTGGTGTTAGTCAGCTCCATGGTCTCCAGCAGCGCTCGATAGGGAGACTCACCAGGCTTCAATGCTCGCTGACGCCTGTTTTTAAAATGTAATAAGAAGTGTGACCACCGTTGATAAATCAGTAACTGTGTGCTTTTTCTAGATACAACAACTTAAGACAAGTAAAATGTTTGAGGGGCATCTCATGTATGTATTGTATACATTTCCATTCTCAGTTATTCCCTAACTTCACAGTTCAGTTATTGTTGGCCTAATGTTTATGTCAATGATGGCATTTTTCCTAGTTCTTGTCAGCTTATGTGAGCTTTCCATTGAATAGATATCATGGACCATCTTGAACCAATGTTCTATCCCTGGAGGCTCTGTTCATATCTTTTCCTTGTTATATCTTTTTGACATGCATCTAGCTGAATTTTTGCCTGATATTTATATTGTCTTTGTAGATCCTCCTCAGTTTTTCCTAAGTTCATGACAGTATAAGTGCTTGGAAGAAAATATCCCATAATTGATTTTATAGGGGCATTTACATTATTCAAGAGGAGCTACTTAAAGAGACAAATGTCTTTCTTTCTAGTTTTACCTGCCACCTCCCATATTTACCCTATACTTGGCATGTGCAAATGTCATTCCTTAGTAGAAAATTAATAGATTGTATTTATAAAAAGGGACAATGTATCATACACATTAAAATGATTATTTATTTGACATTTAGCCATTTTGAGCTTCTTTCACACTGATTGGTGAATTAATTATTTGTCTATCTTGCACTCACTTGCAGAAGGAGCTCTGGTCACAGGTCTTGAAGTTGCCCTTGTCCACAGCCCAGGTCCCACTGAGGAACACGGCCAGCCAAAGCACCAAGACAGGCGCCATCCTACGAAGAAAATCAAGAAGACAATGTAGACTTTATGGTCACCTCACTAAATCATTAACTCACATTTTGTTGAACAATACACAGATAATTACCCAAGAGGACCCCTGCCAAATTACAGCACAAACGTATGAGTTAGGGTTATACAAACTACCCACACACACCCGGACTTTGATCTCTCTAAACTGGTCAAATGTGTCCTCCAGTGAAAACGTCAAAGGCAGCTAACCAATTTCCCGTTTCCTCAACCTGCTTCAGTGTGCATACAGTAACATTTAACATCTAAAATCCCGTTTTCCCTGAGCCTGCATGTTAAGACTTACTTCCAGACCTCACTGCTCCTGTCAAACCGGGTGACGTGTTGTGCTTGAAATGATGAGACAATATTAGCTAGCGTATCCGCTAATGTGGGCTACAGTTAGCTTGCATTCAATCGGATTTTAGGAACAAAATACATGATAAAAACAGGCCCACATTTCTGAAACGACAACGGTGTCAAGTGTTTAAGAGACGGTGTATTACCTGGTTGTTTGAAATCAGTGTTGCTGTTAATTACCTCTTAGGATCAGGATTATCGTGCTAACCGTGCTAACAAGCGGCACTGTCAGTTAATTCAATTGAAGGGGTTAGAGACTGTTCCAAAGTGATTTAAACTAGTGGCCATTAAACCCTCAACCTATACATTTGCTTACATATCCGTCAAGTGTTTAACCCCAGTGTTAATCTCATGGCCTCCCGCTATATTATTATATATCACACAAATTATAAATGTAGGATGAAACAGCGGACCTGCTTTGTCTTACCTTTCAGTGAAGGTGGCCATCTTGGATATGCTTCCGCGAAACTCCGCCCATATCAGTCCGTTACAAAAATCGTAGAAAAATAAATAACTAACAAATTGGTTGCTGTCTTTCTTTAAAACTCGTAAAAAATTGCATTTTATAACATTTACGTTATGTATTTTGATAATAATCAATCTTGTTGTTATCTTTTGATCTTGTTCATGATAAAGTAGGATGTAACGTGAACTTGGTTTGCATATTCATCCTCTCAGGCACGGACACGTCACCCCAAGCTGCAGTCAGTGAAGTGCACACATTTGGATATTTGTTCAGAAATCTCCAACGGACCCCTCTGCAAATAACAAATGTAGTCGAGATCGTACTATATTATTTATAGCTTTCAAAATATGGGTGTCTTGACTTGAAATAATTGATTAGTTATCTTATCATTATCAACTCATTTTGAGATAGCCTACTAATTATTTTGGTTCTCGTTTTTGAGATAGTTATTAATTATTGTGAGAAAGATATTCATTATTTTTGAGATACTAAGTCATATTTTTTAGAAAGTCAATCAATACTATGTAATTTTTTTTAGAAGAGTTCATTGTTTTAAAAAGGTTTCTTAGCATTTTTAAAATGCAAAGTCATGACTTTGAGAAAAGCCCTTTTTGTGTTTTTAATTCTGTAGAATAATATTTAACATATTATAGTTTATTTGTTCTGCCCCTTGTAAAAACAAGGGCAGGGCTTATTCACATTATACATGCATTATAATGTAAAGGCGTTGGTCAAACCGGTTCTGTTGTTTACAGAAAAATTAGTGGAGAGATGTTTACTGGTGTATAAAATACCTACGATTGAAGCAAATACAAAATCTGCTACAGTTTTTTACTTTTGAAAATGCTTTTTGTTTTATTTTTTACTTGTGAAAAAAGTTGGCTTGACTAATTCAAATAAATACTTCTAAAGAAAATAAAAACTTAAATTCCAAGAAGGAAAACCAACTTCCTGCGTTTTTATGCTCACTTTTAAGCCATCACAATCAAAACGTTGGAAACCACTGGCTCAGAGGATTTACAGTATGTAAAAAAAAACATGGACACTGTGGTGTTCACTTTAATCACCAAGAGACTGCTGTGATAAAACATTTTACCATTAAGAAGGAAATTAAATTCAAGACACTTTCAAAACTACCAACTACCTACGACCAAATTATTTATTTTGTTAAGTGGTTGAAACAACAGCTTAGGGCATATAATAATAGATGCTAGGCATGTTTGTAGCCACAATTTCAGAACGTTGGTCAACTGAAAATGATACAAAACTAACATTTAAGTGATTTACCAGAGTACAGTTGTAATTTCAAACAAAATTAGACATTAAGGCTGTGTTTTGTGTGAAGAATTGCTGTGCGAACATAACATGTGCGTGCCATTTCTCATGTACCCTTGTATTCATCACAGAAACAACTAGTAAGAAACCTATGAAGTCTAAAAAATATGGTACAAAAAGGCACACACTCACACATACAAACAAATGCACACATCTATACTTTAAACTTGAGTACAGTGAAAGCAACTTTGCAGTCCTCTTTTGAACCAATGTAACACAGCATCCTGTCTATTCTACAGTTTGCTCCCCACTACTCTTTAAAGCTGGAAGCGCCAGCACAGATGTCCCAATCTGTCAATGTTTTTATGCAGGACGCTATGAATCGGTGCCACGTATCTTGCCACGTCGCCATCCCGTGAGAAATCCCTGCAGAACAACCCCTTCTCTGAGTTGAAGATAAACTTTTGGGGCATGGGCCCATTTCCTCTCACATACTCCCACACAGCCACTAGCAGCAGCCTCACCTCGAATGGAGTGAGGTGAGGGAAGGTTTCGTGGACGTTTGCCAGCACAGGGGGCAGGAGCTGGCCCTCACCCATGCAGGACACCAGGAGGCAGGAGGCCTGGAGGTGCCACGGGGAGTCTGTGGACAACACCTCACGGGAGGCCTCCCAGTGGGCCAGCAGAGTGGCGAGGAGGCCTCTGAGCACAGCTGAGCAGTAGCAGAGAGCCGGGCGTCCCGCAGCCACCACCTGCAGCAGGGGGAAGAGCACCGGGTGGGCTTCAAAGCAACGCCGGATGTGGATGTCTCGCTCCACTGTGGTGCGAGCGTGCTCCTCAGGGGGCCAGGACAGCTCACCGTTGGCCACATCTGGACAGACATTTTCCACCATCGTAACTGCAATTACCTTGGCTGCCTCGGCGTTGATGGGCAGCGGCTCGTCGGGATCAGAGGGAAGTCGGGAGCCGTTGAGACCAGAGGAGCTGCAGCACTGGACGACGACAGCTAGCAGAGTCTGGACGTTCTGCAGAGAGAAGACCATCTTTCAAATGACACATTTTCAGTGCAGCGCCAGAGCATTAAAAACAAATACAGCTAAGTAAATCAACTGGAATGACTTCGAAGGTGTAGTTGAGTCACATGCAGGATGTTTTTTTTATACATTTCTGTTTCTTTGCTTGTGCAATATTCAGAATTGCGTGAGCCATCATATAGATCTTCTTCCACTCTATGAGATTTAAAAATGTTATTTCCTATCAAATATTTAAGTTAAAATGTAGTTTCATGCTGAAATGAGCATTCCTGACTGACTTCATCAAGAAGCGCTTTTCTAATTGGCATTAGCATTGGCCGCTCTTGAAGCTGCACTAAATCATCATCATCTCCAATTGTGTAACTCACCTGCATGACCCCTGATGGGTCAGTAAGCTGTGCTTCAGTGCGGACCTTCAGCCCCTTGCCAATCACCCCGGCATGAAACACAGACCACACGCTACCAGAAAAGTTGACGGTGGTGCCGAAGCGACAGTTGATATCCAGCAGAGAGGCTCCGATGTCAGGAGACACAGACTTGGAAGGCAGAGGGGCCCCAGACATGTCTGCGATCTGCCCTCCAAACAGGCCCGCGTTGCCTTTATGGAGCGCCCCCTCAACGAGCTGCTGGAGCACCGCTTTGAGAGTGAGCGAAGAATACGCTGCAAACCGGGACAGCAGCAGGACTGAGCAGTTCACCTCCTCGCACGCCTGTCCCCCGTCTCTCTCCAGCTTCCCTCCTTCTCCTCTTCTCCGCAGCGCCACAAAGAAATGAGTGACAGCAGCACGAGAGAGCAGGAGCAGGTGTGCTGGGGAGGAGGTGCGAGGCAGAGGGCTGCAGGAGAGGAGGCGCACTGTAGCGTGAGATACATCTGGGTCACCATGGAGAAGGAGCGGGCCAAAATCATGGAGGTATCCTGAGACCGCTGAGCCCACCTGGATGGCCATGGAGGACTGAACCCCTGAAGCTCCTCTCCTCTCCTCATCCTGACTCTGGATGGCTGCGGCCATGTTAAGCAACAGCTGCGTCAGCTGCCGGGTCCCCAGAGTGTGTGTGTGGATCTGGGCCACACAGCGAGTTACAGCGGCGGGAATGAGTCCTGACATGCAGGAGGAGAGCGTGCTGTGGAGCTGCCAGGCCAGGGCAAGCTCCTCCGGGTTGTGGGCCTGTGTGAGGAGCTGGCAGAGGGCCTCAGTGGCCACGCTGGGACCCCCATACACCGACAGCAGACACAGCAACTGGTGCAGCCACAGGTGACGCTTCCTTTCCAGGCGCAGTGTCTCGGCACAGAGCTCCCCTACGTGAGACTGCAGCTCCTCCAGGAAGGGGATGACCCTCCGGGGCTGAGTGGAGGCAGAGCGATGGGGGTTGACTTCAGCTCCCTCTGAGCGGTTGAAGACCAGTTTGTGGAGATGCAAAAGCAGCATCTGGAGGAGTCGATCGCAACCTTCTCTGACGCCTTCGTGAGGGGAGGGTGTGGGGCCTGAGATGATGACGGAGGCTGGCGTTGCTGTGTCTGCCAGAAAGCGGAGGACACGGGACCCTCCCGATGGGCTCTGGCTAATAAGATGGACAGCCAGCCCCAGCATGTTATCCAGCTCCTCTCTGGGGATGCCCTGCAGCACGGCCTGCAGCTGCAGCAGGACCGGAGGGCGCAGCAGCTCCACCAGCTCTGCTGACACCGCACCAAAGAGGTTGGGGGACATTGCAGCCAGCTGGAGCAGAAAGGGAACTGCAGCACGACGAAGCTGAGGGGAACTCTCCCAGGACGTTGAGGATGAAGTGGGAGATAGAGGGCTGGATGGACACAGACTTTCCTGAAACATCCTGAGCAGCTCCTTCCTGATGCTGTCTGAGTGGTGCACTGCGAGGTGTCCAAGGATTCCCACCACTGAGCCAATCTTTGGCACTCTGCTGCCTTTATCCACTCCCATCGCCATCAGCCCTGTGTCCTTAGCACCGTGAGAGCAGAAGTCCTTGAGCCCACATGCCAAGACTCGGCTGATGATAGTACCTGGGAAAGCAGAGCCGATGTGAGCAACCACCCAGTCAAAATGTGGCGAGTGCTGAACCGAGGTGTCCAACAGAGCATCCACACACGCGTCAGGGCACCAGGCCAGCATGGCAGCCAAACACTGGGAGTAGGCCTCCATAAGGGAGCGGGTGGCAGCACAGGACATCCAGAGCTGGAGCAGCTCGTTGAGGCTGGAGGAGTGGGGGGCCACTCTGCGGCCGGCATGCTTGCTGCTCAGCTGGCCCAACAAGTCCACAGCCCAGGCGGACACCAGAGGGGCCCAGGCCCGGGGGTTGAGACGGATAAACTCTGACAGCACGCCATGAACCTCCTGCAGACAAACAGAAGATATTGATACCTTTTACTGGGACATTTTTGCCAGAAAAAAAATGTGGCTAGTGAGATTGCAGGGGTTCATGCCATTTTAAAAGAGTACACTTAAATGGAAGCAATGCAAAACATTTTCAAAGAGTTTTTAATTCAGGGCATAAAATGCTATGCCAGTTGTTTCCTTAATAAGTCTAAACCCCAAGTTAATCAGGTCTTTTAGAAGCCTGGATTGTGGTTGTGAATTTAGGGCATTCTACTGTTTGTTATTTTTTCATAGCAGAATGTTGCTTTATAAGAAGAAAATATTTTCTTAACCAATTCAATACATACATTTTAAACCAAAAATACTCCTCTACGAATTAATAATTGGGTGTC